TCTTCATCTGATTAAGTCACGTCCTAAACCAAATTCAAGCTAAACGACTTAGGGCTTGACTGGTTTAAACGCACCGGTTGTGATTGCGAATGCAGGAGTTTGTGAAAGCGGGTGATTGCGGTTTTGAGCGTTATTAAGTAGTTTGCACGACTGGTTAAACTTTTTAAGGCGGGTCCGTTTGCGGGATATTTTTGACTGGCAAACCAGCGGATATTTTAACGGTTAAACATAAAATTACCAAAATAAACAGCATATATAATTGTAAAAAAAAACAGAAAAACTATATTATTATGACTAAAATCAAAATCACTAGTTCAAAATAATTAATAAAAAATTATAAATAAATATTAAATAATTATTTTAAAAACTAATAAAATTTATAATAACATGTTTTATTTCAATTATTGGGAACATCACCCAAAATTGTGTCTAATAATATAATAGACTGGAAAAAAATTGCTCTAATACGTGGATCTTCTGGATTTGTCTTATGCATGATGTAAAATTTTTTTAATTGATCTAATCGATTTATTGCATGATCCCAACTCAAATCAACTCCAAATTGCTCATTAGTATTCTTCAGAATACGTTTTTTTCTGGAGTGCACTAAACAATCTAGGTTCTTTATCTTTAGTTTGTTTTTCTACAATGATCCGTTGAAGTAACGCACATATCATCTCGTTTGATCATGTAACTTTCTGAAAAACAAAAAAAAGAATTATAACAAACTAATTTTGTAATTAATAAAATATATATTTATAATTTCTTATTTTAAAAGTGGAAACAGAACAATTTATATGAATGAATTAAACCAAAGTATTATGGCACTTAATTTTGTATCTTAATTTTCTTCAATTGGTATGAAAATTATGATTAGATACTAGAACTTAATAGAAAAAATGATAAGTTAGGGTTTACATATATAGAAGAAGATTAGTAGGGTTAGGTTTTTATAATTTTTTTTAACCTAATCTTTTTTTTTTTAGTGTAATTTTTTTTTATCTAACCGCTACCGTCCGCAACTGCAAACGCTGGCATTGAATTTCAACGGTATAAAAACGATACAGAGCGGTTTGCAGTGATTTCTATGATTGTGATAAAACGTCACTAACCGCTACCAACCTGCGTTTGCGGGTGATAGCGCGTGAACCTAATAACACCTTAAAACAGAAGCGCTTAATGGGAGGCAACTCATTTAGGTATTGTTTTTTTGAGATTTTTCTTTCTTTTTTATTGATCTTTTTCTTTATCTTATTTTCACGTGTTTTTATAAATAAAAAAGCCAAAAAATTAAAAAAACCAAAAAAAAACCAAAAAGAAGGATGGTCCATGACTGCTCGGCCCAACCGGAACCAAGGAGAAGCAAGAACATGCCTTATTTAAGCCCCCGCGATCGCAGGAGTTCGGACCGCGGCCAAGCCCACTTCGACCACAGCCGCGTCTTTGTGACCGCGACCAAGCATGCTTTCACTGCGGTCGCGTGAGCTCTGACCTCGGCCAATGGTCGTTCAGATGACCTCTGATCCCAAATCACCCACTTCACCTCATTCCACCTCACCAAGCCCTATTCCACCTCATTCATCACTTTCCATCACCTCCCAGCACCATTTATCACCTTCCCGAATGGATCCGGTCCATCTCCATCAGCATCCCAGATCCATGTAAGTTCTCTTAGGCTTACCAAATTCGATTATCTATGCATTTTTCTCATCCAATCTCGACTTGTTTCACACTGAGGACAGTGTGAATTAAGTATTGGGGAGGATTTCATCCCCTTTTAACCACTTTTCTTTCATGAGTCTTGCATTATCTATACTTTTAATTTTTTTTTAAAAATGGTTTTCAAAACAAAATACATTTTTAAAGGGAATGGTGAACATGAATCGATGATAGTTGACTGTGTGCTTTTAGACTTTTCCTAGTGAAATGCTCATTCATGATTTAGGACTAGACTAGGCGGTAGCTAAACACATTTGAAACGAATTACCCCAGAGGAATTTGAATGATTTTGATTTAGATAAAGGAATACACTAGCTCTGTTTTATTTGGACTTAACATGGACTTAATTCTCTCATTAAAGCATTATACCAGGGAAACGAATCATACATTCAGAAATCCTTTATCCTTTTACCACTTTCTGTTGATCCTGAATTGCTAGTTCATCTTTAGCTAGTTCACCACCTTAACCAAACTTCTTTCGAACCACATGCACTCTTGTTTTCCATTGTATTATATGCAGATATATGCAAAAACGTCGTAGAGAAAGACGAACGATGTAGTTTTCAGTCACTAAGACGAAGAACTGCAATTTTGCTAAAAAATTTACCGGAAGGATTCAACAAAGGAGAAAACTCAGCTTACCTCAGAAAAATCGCCAAACATTGGTACATTTTCGTCCCTTGGAATTTCTCTCTCTCTAAAAGTTTATTTCCTCTTTCGTTAAAAAAAATGAAAGGAAAGGAAATAAAACTTTAGAGAGTCTAAGAGGATCGATTTTATCCCTGAGGCAAGCTAGAGTTCGATTATATGGAGTTTTTGGAGATCATTTCTCTGATTCTCGGAAAAGATCTAAGTCTGGAAAATAGCTGTTCACAAAAAAAGAAGAAGGATTATGCAACAACACTGGAAGGGAAGAAGTGACTGAAAATTGCGGTAATCAACAAGTCCACTCTCTCTCTTGCGGTTTTGCAAAATATCTTGCATACTCCAGATTCATCAGGTAACCCGAAACACTTTAACTCCACTACTTAAACAGCCCTTAAATGCCAAACGCCGTCTACCCTGGATGATGTCTTTGATGAGAATTCACTATTACACTTAATGAATGTAGAGAGCTAGTTGACTGAAATCAAGATTTAGATTGTTTAAGTTTTGCATGATGGAAAAAGTGGACTAGTATATTTTGTGTCTTGGTGAGAATTTTCTAGACTAAGTTGTGGATTGATGTACGATCTATGGTCCTAGTTTAAGAGTTCATGTCGCTGAGATTTGTGCATTTCCTATTTTTTTTTTCACTTAACCAGATTAGACTTTTGCTTTGTTTGGGAAAAAATAAAAGTTTAAGTCTGGGGGAGTTGATAACACCGTATTTTGACCACTTTTATGGATCGTTTTTGAATACTTTTTCTATGTTTTTTATTGCTTTCAAGTATTTTTATTATGTTTTTCTAGTATTTGTAGTTTCAAGACTCTTTTCAGGAAACTTAGGAAAAACTTAACAAAATGGATAGAAAACCAGATTTCAGCTCAGAGTCAAACCGTCAGAAATTCACCCCCAAATGAAGATCTTCTCACCGTCAGATCCATCTATATTTTAGAGACCTTAAAGATGGAACTACCAGCTTTCCAGCACACTTTACAGCTTGGCAATCCAACGGTTCAATCAAAAGTTATGCGAAGAGCAAGATGTCTCGTAAACTAGCCGGCAAGCATTCCTACCCGCGGCCAACAGTTATTTCACCACGGTCCCGACCTTCCCGACTGCGGAAAATAGTCTGTCCAACTCCAAGCCCATTTTCAAACTCAAAATTATTTCCTCATTTGGAGAAACTCTAAGTGACGACTTGAACATTATAAATACATGTTTTTAGGAGCCCTAGACAAGACACACACAGAGAGACACATACAATTTATTGTTTTTGCAGCTTTTAAGTTTTTGTCTTTCATTTTCTTAGTTTTTAGGTTTCAAGAGATAGAGATCTATCTCTTGAACCCTTTTTTTCTTCTATCATATTGATTTCTACTCAGCTTTTTAATACAATGTTTTTGCTTTCGTTCATCATGTCTGAGTAGTTTTATTGTTGGGTTTAAGGGATTTTTGTTGGGGGCTATATATGTTCGATGAGAATTCCATTAGCTATTGAAGCCGAATCCTAGAACTTTTTCTTCTAAACTTATTTATAATGCATGGGAGTATCGTCATGAACTACAATCTGATCTAGGTCTTGCGTGTTGCAAAAGTTTTCATTTGGGGCCAGATCTAGTTCGAGAAGAGCAGATCGACCATAGGAGTGGAAACCTACCTATGGAAGAGCTGTGAATGTTGAGGAGTCTTAAGCATACTGCATCTTTTCTTTTCCAGAGCCAGAGTGGAAACCTATTGGTCAGGGTTAAGAGAGATAGTTGGTTATGATTACGACAGTGGCGTATTCATACGTTTGTGACTCGAGTTCTAAAAGTTTTAGCTAGGATCTTTTAATTTACCTTTTAGCAATGTTTTGAATCGTTCATCCCCTATAGAGAATTTCCCTGAAAACCCAGCGCCTCTTTTCTATTGATTTACACCGATTTTCATTTAAATTTTAGTCTAATATTTTCATTCATTCAGCCGATTTTCATACAAACAATTAGTCTAGCCGTTTTCTCGTTTTTAGTCGATTTCAATAGGTTTAGTTATTAGGTCATTTTAATTTTCGTATTTTCCCGTTAAGATTAGTTTGTGCGTTTTTAAAGACACCACCAAAACTCTTACAAAAATCGTCTGGTTTTAGACTTCTTTGCTTCACATTTTTTTCGAAGGATTTTGCCGGAAAGATCATTTTTCCATGTGGATTCGATCCCTAAGTACTACAATCGATCAGCTATGCATTTGCGGCTATTGATTTCATTTAGGATAAAACTTGACAACCTTCACGCAGACACACATCAGTTTACATGTAACAAACAAAAGACTTAGGAAATTTAATGGAAAAGTAATAAAAAAAAAGTTTTTGTTACTTCAAAGACCAAAACTATCTTTAAAACTGTTGCATCTATGAATGCCAAGAGAATCCTTTCATCTCCTACATTCTCAGCTCCGATGCAAAAAACTCAAGTAAGTCATTTTACCTGAATTTAAAAATAGCAAAAAATAAAATTTTGTAGCTGGAATTTGTAAGTTGGAGATTTTTTTTTGACAATTTTCCCAAGAACATTGACTTTTTTTTTAAGTAAGGGTAAGATGGTAAATGTTTCTGAAACAAAACCTTAATGGCCTTCGTCTTCGTCTTCGTCATGACTCGTCCCTGTTATCTCCTCTTATCACGTCCTTAAGCAATTTTTGCAGATTTGTGTCACTCGGAAACAGAATCCAGCGCCGGAAAATAAGTAGAAATCTCACAGGCAAGATCATTGATCTCATTTCCGAAAGGAGAAGATGATATGATCTCCACTAAGCCTCTAGTGTTGAAACGCTGAATCTGATTTCCCCATAGAACCAAGCAATTAGTATTGTAACAATGACTCGTATGTTTCTAGCACGACGATTGGTAACCAGATGCTTCTCCTCGGTTTCTCCCCGTCCTCTTCACGTCTGCATCGTTGGTAGTGGACCTGCTGGTTTCTATACTGCCGACAAGGTTCTTCTTCTCCCTCTTTGATTATAGATGATGATTTTGCGATTTGAATCGTTAACTTAAGACTCTTACTTAACCTCAATGTGTGATTTGATGGATGGTGATTTCAGCTATTGAAGGCACATGAAGGAGCAACTGTAGATATAATTGATCGATTACCAACACCTTTTGGGCTTGTTCGGTCCGGTGTTGCGCCTGATCATCCTGAAACTAAGGTATAATTCCAAGATCTGTGTAATCTTGTTTTTTTGAGAGGTTAAAAACATTGACCAAGGCTCGTTTTCTTTTCTATCTACAGATTGCCATTAACCAGTTCTCGCGCGTGGCGCGACACGAGCGTTGCTCATTTTATGGGAATGTGAAGCTTGGTTCTGATTTATTACTTTCTGAGCTGCGGGATTTGTATCATGTGGTAATGTCGTCTTTTTAACTATGTTTCTTTGTGTGAATTGTAGATAGACAAGTGAATAGTTTCATTCATTTGTTGTTAAAAGTAGACAATACACCTATCCAAGATTTGTTGAAAAGGCAAACCGATTTATATGGCTCAGGTTATGTGTCCAATTTAATCTCTCTATTTCATGGATTAGGCACAAATTTCATGCTTAGATTGGTCATTCTGTCATTAATGGCCTTGTGTCGTCAGATTTCCTATATAGGAGTTTAATAGGAGTTTGTGGCTGTTCACTATACACCCGAAACAGGTTTTATCTGTCTACTATACTCACTATTCTCCATGAGACCCTATTCTTTTTATTCTGCTTTGCGCTCATAATATAACTTCTACATTCAGCAACAAGTTGATTGAGAACATTTTATCAAAGTAAACACAAAATCAATTGGTTTTGAACATTTGAAGGTTACTTTGTTTATGTCTTCAACTTCTTATTATAAGTATGGTCTGTTCAGGTTGTACTTGCATATGGTGCTGAAAGTGACAAAGATCTTGGCATTCCAGGTGAGGTATGCCCAATTAAAAGCGTTTCATGTGGCGTCCTTATACTTTTTGGGAATCCATGCTGATGTACAAAGTTTGACTTACTTTGGTAGAGTTTGTCTGGTGTATACTCTGCAAGAGAATTCGTCTGGTGGTATAATGGTCATCCCGACTACAGCAGTTTTAAACCTGACTTGCAAAGCTCTGACACAGCTGTTATTCTTGGACAGGTACTCTTATATTATGGTATGCGATCCTCGTTTTGTTAAAGGCGCATTACTACTCCTTTGCAGTCATGCATATTGCAATATTCTTTAGCTGTATTGTATAATGGAATTAATTTGAAAACGTCTCATATAATGGAAAGATCCAGCTGCAGTGTTTTCCAGAACGGGAATATGTTTTGCATCTACATCTTAGCCTTTTCCATGTCTTATGTATTTTGAAACTGGGGAGCATATTTGTTGTTAGGTTAGCTATCATTACCACTAAAACATGATTTGCATATAGGTTTGATACCAAATGAATGCATTTCTCAGCAACTCTCTGACATATGAATTATTCAAATTTTAGGGTAATGTAGCTCTAGATGTTGCTCGGATTCTCTTAAGACCGACAACAGAGTTGGCGTCAACTGATATTGCTAGCCACGCTTTATCTGCGCTGGAAGAAAGTTCTATAAGGTCCAAAATTGAGCAAGTTAAATCCTGTTCCATTCCATCTTTCTTATAGTTGATAACCAACTATAGTTCCTAATACAAAGTCGTAACGTGTACAGGAAGGTGTATCTTATCGGAAGACGGGGGCCAGTTCAAGCAGCATTGACTACTAAAGAGCTTCGAGAAGTTCTAGGTATGTTACATATTTAAATCATATAGTGAACTTTTGATTTTATATTTGGATAGAGTCCATAAAGAAAATGTCGGAGAGGAAATAACTTAAGAACCAAATCGTGTGGGTGGGGTCTTGGATCACTAGAAACAATATCTAACTATGCGATTTTGAGTGTGGTATGGTGTGTCTGCTGCCGCTTTTGTGTGCGTGTATGAGTGGAAATGATTTTTCTGCATTATTCTATTGTCCAGCTTGTTACCTAATATAAGGGGAAGTGTGGTTGCATGAAACAATATCTTTAGTTTTGTATCAACTGGAGTTTATAGTACCTTGGTAAATGGGTTCGGAAATTTACCGGTCTCTCTAAGTTACATCAAAACTGTCTATATACAAAACTTTGTACGGAAAAAATGCCTGTCCTGACTCTTGAACTTCTCATGTCTTTGTGAGGTGATAACATACTGCATGTGTCTATTTCTCTTTGCAGATCTTCCTATAAATCTTTTGTTTATTATCTGCAATATTGTGTAATGTTTTTTCGTTGCTCACTGATGTTTGTTATTTACCTATCGATAATGAGTATAAATGTAACTCTTTATAATGCAGGGATTAAGAACTTGCACATTCGAATAAAGGAAACTGACTTGAGTGTAACTCCTGCTGATGAGGTACTTGTGTTACCGATTTTCAACTCTGTTTTTTTGCATCTTAAAGAAAACTGTGATATAACTTTTATGCCTACTTGCATTGGAATTCCACAAAAAATTGGTTCGATCCTGCCTGCGTTTTGTCTTTGTTTCTCGTGCCTTTGTGCTATGTTAATCTACCTTATAATACTCTCCTTTTTTTCCCCAAAGGAAGAAATGAAAAGCATTAGAGCCAGGAAGAAGAAGAAGATCTATGAATTACTGTCAAAGGCTGCAGCAGCAGCAACAAGAACATCCGAAGCAGACCGTGATCAACGAGAGCTCCACTTTGTTTTCTTCCGCCAACCTGACCGGTTCTTAGAGTCAGATGAAAGGAAGGGACATGTTTCGGGTGTAAACTTGGAGAAAACCATTCTTGAAAGTAAGAGTGAAACTTTTTTACCGTATCTTGAGTTTCTTCATTACAGACAATTGTCTAGTAGATTTCTTAGCTCTGCTATTTGAGACACTAGAAAAAATGAATTAGTGATTGCTGAGGATAGAATAGCGTAACATTTGAGACATATCTCTCGGGTACTTGTAGGTGTTGGAAGCGGAAAGCAAATTGCAGTTGGTACAGGAGAGTTTGAGGATCTGAACTGCAGGTAGGGTAATATGAAAGATTCTCGGTGAACAAATTAGAACAAATTAGAACAAATTGAATGAAAAAAAGCAAGCATGTTCGGTTTTTTGCAGTATGGTGCTGAAAGCCATTGGTTACAAGTCGGTTCCAATCAACGGTGTACCCTTTGATCACAAGAAAGGTGTGGTCTAATATGAAAGCTTGTTTTGTTCCATGATTAATGTCTCAAATGGTTGAGTTCTTCTGATTATTGTGTATGCCCCAATTTCATGTTCTAAGGTATTGTCCCGAATGTAAATGGTCGAGTAATTAGTCACACTTCAGGAGGCATATCAAAGACAGAGCCAGGCTTGTACGTATGTGGATGGCTCAAAAGAGGACCAGAAGGCATAATTGCTACTAACCTTATCTGTGCCGAAGAAACAGTAAGCACACTAAACTGATGTTCTTTAAAGCTACGAAATGGTGATGAAATTGGGAGAATGTTGCAGGTTGGTAGCATAAGGGAAGATATTGAAGAAGAAGATGGTATTTGTAAGAGCGAAAAAGAAGGAAGCAAAGGACTGTTGCAGTTGCTAAAGGAGAGAAAGGTGAAGAAGGTAGATTTTAGTGGGTGGGAGAAAATTGATGCCAAAGAAAAACAAATGGGGAGTGAGATAAATAAACCCAGAGAAAAGTTGGTAACATGGGAGGATCTTTTAGCAGCAGCAACCAACTAGGACTACGAATTCAGTTTATATAGTTAGACCTTGTTCCTTTGCTCATTTATCATTTGCCGATGATCCATTTAATTAATTTATTTAAATAATTCATCTGAATAATGTTTATTTCTATTTTGGATTATTCATTTGGATGATACATGTCAATGAATCTTTGTTTATTTGGTCATTTTAATCTGAAATTACATCTTCATCTAGATGTTTTAGAAATGACTAAAATGCCAATGCTTTAATCTAATTATAAGTTTATCTTTTTAGTCTAATTTTAAATATGTAGATATATATATTAATTTTAATTCTTTATCTAAACAATATATACAATTAAATAATTTTAAAATTATTAGTTTTGTTATTTTTAAATTTTACAAAAATCCTTTATTAAATTTAATTATCACATGAAACTAAAAACCTATAAATTATAACTTGAAATTTGTTTTAAAAATATATATTTCATGAAAATTATTAATTTTGGATTTATAATTTTCATGAAATATATTTATTTTTATAACATATTTCAAGTTATAATTTATAGATTTAATAATTAAATTTAATGAATGATTTTAATAAAATTTCAAAATACACAAAATAACATTTTTGATAGAAAATAAGAAAAAACAATTTTGCTTTAATGAAAGACAACACAATTTTGTGTTTTTGATGAGAAAATGAGATTTTATGTTTTTGTCAGAAAATATGATTTTATGTTTTTGGCAAGAAAAAAAGATTTTATGTTTTTGACGAGAAATATGATATTACGATTTTACAGTTTTAACGAGAAAATAAAATATTTTATTTTTAGCGGAAAAACAGAATTTTACGTTTATGGTTTGATGGAAAAGCGAAATATTATGTTTTTGGTGTGAAAACATGATTCTACGGTTTTGACGAGGAAGTGAGATTTTACATTTTTGGTAAGAAAACATAATTTTAGATTAACATTTTTGAAGGTAAAATGAGATATTACATTTTTGGTGTGAAAACATAATTCTACAGTTTGGACGAGAAAACGGGATATTATATTTGGTGGGAGAAAATAAAATTTACATTTTAACAGAAAAACATGATTTTATATAATGACGAGAAATATAATATTATTTTTTTGGTGTGAAAATATGATTCTATTTGCATCTTATTTAAGTGTTAATAGAATATACTATGTTTTAGTATAGAAAAAAATAATCAAGAGTGACAAAGAGTTCGCGAAACTGATTTCAATATATGTTTTAAATAATATCAAGAAAGTCGGTTTCACTGCTATTATTTAAAATATTAAAAAATATATGTAACTACTAAATAAATTCGTTGACAAAAAATAACTAATAAATAAATTCATATTTTATACGTTGCTATATATTATAGCACAAATAGTAGATATGAATTAATTCATAGGAAGCAAACAAAAAAATCAACTCATATAAAGGAAGCAAACAAAAAATAAACTTACATAAATATTAGTGAATTTTAAAAAACAAAAACAAAAATTATGTCATTGTGGCTTCCAAACAAAAGTTTTTCCTGCCCGTCCATCATTTACTGAGGAGTAAATTGCATCAGTTTTGGCAATCCATTGAATTGATTTAAAGCCAATCAATTCAAAGCTTACTTTGCTATATACTCGAAGGCTTTTAAAATAATATTCTTTTCCAGTTCGAAAAAAACGTAAATCACAATCGACATTGCCACCACAAAAAGTAATGCTCCAAGAATGACTGTAGTGTAAAGTCTTTTTTCCTGAATCCAAGTTTCTTCCGGTTTTCATCTTTGGGTTGTAATTACTGCCATTACAATGATAATGGAGAGGAATATCATGACTGAGTTGGTTCATAAGTACTATAGTAGCTGATTTGCAAGTAGCAGCTTCATTTAACCCAAAATACATAACAATAACTAACATAAAAGTTATGGAATTACTCATTTTTTGTATGGAAGATAATTTACAAAGATTACTAGTGTGTAGTATTTATAATGTTTTGTGTGTGGAAAACATGTTACTTGTACTTATTAGATATTCTATTTATGGTGTTAGCTAAATTTAGAAATAATCATGAACCATTTGAAATTTGTGGTAGGAGGAAAATCTACTCAGTCTAGTGTCGAAAAATATGGTTAGTATTTTGAAGATTTTCAATCTACCACGTCACTACTTAGTAATAGTTATGGAGACCCACTCATTTCTGTGTTCAGATGGGAGATAACAGATGTTGTTGCCAGTATTTCACGCTTACCTGATAACATTACAAAATAATTATATGTTAACAGTTTATCAAGACTAACTCAAATCTCTTCTCTGGTTTTCGTTTGTACTGGTTGTAGAATCTATTCTAAATTCCCCTACGTCAGAGGGATCCCTAGTGACAGAGCATACCGGAGACTACCACCATGCTCTAGCCCATAGTGACTCAGGTTTATGCTGCTTCAGTAAGAGTTTACATTTCTCTCGGTTTCAACCGAGATTCTCTGCACAATATTGACTTTTTGTAACTTTTCTTACTTGGTTGTGAATGCAATTGAACGAGAACAATAACTTTTTTTTTTGTGTTCTACTTTTATGCTAAGTGAAATTGTAGATATTTTTGGCTAATATTAGATCAATCATCTTTTAATATACAGTCAGCAATAAAAGAGTAGGCGGCATACACAAAATATAGAGAGCATTTAATGATTGCTGCAGCCACCAGTTCTCTCTCATCATTAGGGTCATTTTGGACTACCGTAGCCTAGTAATTATTATCATAGATTAAAAAAACTGTATAAAACTAATTCTTAGTTATATCTTACTACTTTCTTAAATATTAGATTTATCATTAATACTCTCTCCATTTTACAATGTAAATTATTTTAGCTAAAAACACAAACATTAAAAAAATTACGTTTTTTTTTTAAGTATCATTAAGTTGTACATAAAAAATAATCCAACCAATCATGAAAAAAATGCACAATATAATTAGTTACACAATATCGAAGAAATATAAAAGTTGCATAAAAATGTGAGAATAACTTATTTGTTTGAAAAAAAACCTATAAAACAAATTGTATTTTAAAACAGGGAGTATCTACCCATTTAACTCTAAATTGTTTTTTATGTTTATTTTGCTTTGTTAAAGAGGACATATGCAAAATTCTTTGCATTGTATTAAAATAGATGTATGTCCTAGCACGTTGAGCAGCTAATTCATTGTATTTGTCTTTTTTGTTTTTTATTTTATTTTATTATACTCATTTCTTATCTTCATATTATCATAATTTGTTATCTTCATTTTCCGGTCTCCTTCATCTTCAATGTTTTTGTCCTCTTCTTTTTCAAAATCTTTCTTCGATCAGCTTCATGTTCTTCTTCATCCTTTTCTTTATCTTTTTTTTTTCATATTCCTCTTCATCGTCTTCAACTTTTACTTCTTCTTTTTTTTTTCGGTTTTTCTTCTTCGTCTTCTTCTTCTGGTTTTGTTTTGTCTTTTATTTTTACTTATCTCTTGTGTATGTATTTTTCCGCTTCTACATCGTCTTTATATGCGTCTTCTCCTTTATATTTATATAAAATCAATTTATAGAGATTTTATTATCATCGCTCTCTTCCTCTCTTGGATCCTGCTCACGTATGGTTTCAAGTTTTTGAACAGTGGCCACTTCCCCTTACAGCACCCAGATTAGCATACACATTTTATTGATCTTGTTTGGCATCAACCTTTTAAGAAAAAAACTAAAATTCTAGATATCATCCAAAGAGCCTGAGAGGGAAAAAGGAGGAAATATACACAAAGCCATGCCTATAGTAGGCCGAATAAATTCTCATTAATAGAAAGAAAGAGCAGACGTCAGAGGCCCATGACAACTTTACTTTTCTACGAAATCTCTGCTATTAGAAACTTACCTGCATCAGAAAGAGGTGATCGTTAATCAGATCAAAAATATCTGATATAACAACGCAAAGGAAAGCAGAAAGATTAGTTTGCCAGGAGGCGTTTATTCTGAGGGAGCAAGGCGTTTGATCGTTGTAACTTGTAATTCAATGTGAATGGTAGTGATAGAGAATGGAGGTTAAGCGACAACATTAACAAAGAAACATTTAATCTTTCAACTGGTGATAGAATTTTGTTTACATGAAGATCAAATGGACTTAGACTGTGATAAGCATCATCAGATATACTATAGGAAAGAAGGGCCAAGTTGGAGAAGTGCTCAAGGATCAAGTCCCGGGAGAAGAAAATTAATGAAGGAAAGAGCAAAGACTTGGATTGGAGCAGAGGCTTTCTTTTCCGTAAAGTATAAATACGAGAATATAGAAGAAAGTTAGTTATGCATTTGCTGAGTTTGTAAGCGATATGAGCTTAGGTCAGTGATCTCTATGAGATCATCGTCCCTGTAGATTCATTGCTAATATCTTGTATTAATGACATATATACTTTTCTCATGCAATACAAATACTATTCTACTTCTATATCCTTGTTCATATCAAACTGGTGCGATTGTGACTCGATCGAATGAAGCGATGAGTTCTGCGGAAGATCCGGTGGAAAGAATCGATCAGATCCAAGGATCTTTGGGAGAAGTTCATCAAGAGGTCAAATACATTCGAATCGGTTGGGAACGACATACCAAAGCAAATCAAGAGACGAATTTGAAGTTATCGGAGATGGAGAAATCAAATCGCGAATCCAATATGCGTCTTTCAACAGTGGAGCGACAGCTGAGCTCGATTTGCAACACCTTGGCGCGAATCGAAGCTAGTTCGTTTTCCGGTGCGTCAAAACATAAAGATGTGGCACATTCTTCCGATGATCCAAATCAGGTAAGCAATTCCAACTTGGAACAACCTAGTGAAGATAAACAGATAGGTTATCGGGGAATGACAAATACTTTGATGACTCATGAACATATGCTTAGGAAAATTGAAATGCCTGTTTTCGACGGACGATTACCTTTTGGTTGGATATCTCGTGTGGAAAGATTTTTCCGTTTGGGCAGCTATACTGAATAAGAGAAGATGGGACTGGTCTCATTGAGTTTGGAAGTTTTGGTTCTGTGATGGTTTAACTAGGAGATTGAGCATCAATATTTCACTGACTGGCCACAGTTTAAACAAAGGATTTTGGACAGATTTGGAGTCTCAAATGGATGATGAACCAGGGAAACGGTTGCATAATCTTACT